TCTCATCCAATCAGAGCAGAATTAGCACAAAGAGCCTGTTACAAACATTTACTTTAAGTTTACGCCTCAATACGTCTTCGAGTGTTGCCACTTTAGCTTTTTGTGATGAAAAAAATTTTTTTTTCTACACAATTCACAGCCAAGCGATTACTCGATTAATCGATTACAAAATAATCGTTAGTTGCAGCTCTACTGGAAACGCATCAGGATTTACCCGAGTGAGTTGGAGGACGTGTGGATGGACAGAGACGTCTGGGCTTATCTGCTCAGACCGCTGCGGCTGCCACTGAGCAACGGATAAAGCGGAAGAAAATGGACGGATATGTTTTAAAATGCATGATTTCCAAGTGGAACATTCATTATTTACATAGCAGGTTTCACACAGGGCTTTCTCAGCACAATTAAAGAACATTGTGTTACTTTTACACTTAACGGGACATCACAAAATATCGTGTCTTGTCGTACGCCTCAAAATTACAAACTTTGCAAGACTTATTATTTCCTCCTCATGACGTTGTTCTTTCTGTCTCTTCCAGTCTTATTAGTCGTGTTACATTGTTGGCATAGACTTTAAAATATGAACAGATGTAGTCACGCCAATCTCTGCCTTCTGAGGGCAGTTTCGAAATGGCCGCAGGGGCTGGAAAATGTGAAAAAAACACATTTGTGCATGAGTTAGCTGCATTAGCCACATTCTTTTATCAAGTGCATTCTGAAGTCCACATCGGCTAAACTAGACCGGTCCAAGAGCCACTTTTGGACCAAGAACCACTTTTGGACCAGAGCCACTTTTGGACCAAGAGCCACTTTTGGACCAAGAGCCACTTTTGGACCAAGAGCCACTTTTGGACCAAGAAGCACTTTTGGACCAAGAGCCACTTTAGGACCAAGAGCCACTTTTGGACCAGAGCCACTTCTGGACCAAGACCCACTTTTGAACCAAGAGCCACTTTTGGACCAAGACCCACTTTTGGACCAAGACCCACTTTTTGAACCATCCTGTAAAGCCATTATCGAGCGGTAAGAATGCTATACATTAACATTGGCTAAATCTTCTGCTGGGTCCACCCCCACAGGCTCGGGGTGGTATTGCAGCATGTTAACGCACGTCATTTCGGACCTTTTAGACCCGGGACCAGCCCCCACTGATTACTGGTGATTGAGCAGCATGTCTCCTCCTACATTCTCTCACCGGGGCCAGCCTTATGGTCCCGGCGGCTCCGCTCCAGCCTCCCCTGAATACTGATTAGACCCTCCATCGCTCACAGAGAAGAGCCACTCCATCTGAGGGAAAGCATATTTTTTAAGCGCTCAGTAAAAACGCTTTGTCTGACTTCCATTTTGAGCTCAACATGAGGTGGAGATTTTTCTCTTTTTTTCCCTTTTCAAGCCACAGTCCTCATCTTGAAGTCCATTCCTCTGGTCTTTGAGTATAAAAGCCTGTTGATTGGAGTGGCCAGAGTGAAGTGTGCATGTAGCATTAAGGTTGTAGAGGTGAACGGTTTCAGCACTTTACCACAAGAGCTGGAAGTCGTCTGTGAGTCAAAAGAGGTCATGTGATTGTGTGTTGGCCACGGTTATATCATACCACGAGAAACCTTCTTATGCAGCAGGGTCCAAGCCCATCAGGCGCCCGAGGCTGTAATATATCATGGCCCCCCTCGTCCACTTGTGCAGGGCGCCACAGTGAGTAAGTAAGTAAGTAAGTAAGTAAGTTTTAATTTATATACCGCCTTTTCACTGCAGATCTGAGTCTCAAAGCGGTTTACAATTGTTAATTTTTGGGCATTTGTCTCTCACTCCACACAGAGATGGGAGTGGGGTCGCCAGTACAGGAGGCACATGCCAGAACTATTGGACATATTTTTAGTGGTAGGGGAAACCGGAGTCCCCGGAGGAAACCTACGCAGACACGGGGAGAACATGCAAACTCCACTCAGAAAGGCCCTGGTCCGACCGGGATTCGAACCCAGGACCTTCTTGCTGAGAGGCGAGAGTGCTATCCACTCAGCCACCGTGCCGCCCAGCATGTGTGTAGTCGCAAAACTCTTTCAGATCTTAAAAAAATTATCATTAAAAACCAATTTGTACCAATATCGCAGACATTGTATCCAGTTTTCTTGCCATTTCCAAAGTAAAAGCGATGATGAATATTTGTTTGCACGGTAGTAGATGGTATCACAGTGTGCAGTGAAAATTATCTGTGACTCTTCTGGCCACCCAGGAAAAGCCTTGTTCCAGCTTCTTCCCTCTGGAAGAAGATACTGTTCTCTGAGATGCAGGACATCTCGTTATGCTAATAGTTTTTTTCCACGAGCTGTTATCAGTGTGAATAGAGCACTTTAATGTTTTTGCACTTGTACAGATCTGTTTTAAGTTGGTCAACTTCACAGTGACATTTGTTTACTGTTTTTAAAATGTGTTTTATTTTTGTCTTTTAATGTTGTTTTGTGTCTGTACTTGTCCTGTGCACACTGGGAACTTTTACTAATGTATTCCAATGTAGTGTTACTGCAAATGGCGATTAAATGAATCTGAATCTGAAACACTTTTTCAGACCAAAAGAGAGAAGTTTAAAGTTGAAGTGCATTTTAGCGGCTCAACAAAAACACATCATACAAACAAAACAAACAAAAAGATAATTCTAAAAACAGCTACATTAGTAATAACATTCAGCAGTACTTTAGGTCACAGCAGCGGAGGGGGAGCAGCCATTTTCTCTGCCCCGGTCCAAAGTAAAATGCTAAATGCTGTGTTTGTTCCTCCGGTGGTCTGGACCTGTGTGCAAAAAAATAATGTCATGTTTTTTTCTAACCCATTATTTATCCATTTCTGGGCCGGGGGGCGATCAGAGCTGCGCCCAAGTCTCACCAGTCCCTCTGATCCTCTGCAGGGGGTGGGTCCACAGGAAGATGGCTTCTCCGTGATCGAAGACATGGCCTTGGTCTTTCAGCGGGGGCTTCAGGCCATGTAAGTAAGTCATGTTTATTTATATAGCGCATTTTAGAGACCAAGGTACAGACCCAAAGCCCTTTCCAATGTTCAGTCAGATATTGTTCTTATTATTCCACACACGGTGATGACAGAAGCGAGTCCAGAACACACCATTCACTCTCTCATTACATTCATACCTATTGTGCATGTTTTTAGTGGGGTTAAGTGTCTTGCCCAGGGACACAACGGCAGCCGACATCAGTGGGAGCAGGTGATATGGGTCGTGGTGGATTTGAACCCACGAGCATTAGGTCCAAAGACTAGTGCTCTACCAACTGAGCCACTGTCGCCCCTACAAAAAAATGTTCTTTCCCATTTCTGACTCTGGGTTAGGGATAGGTTGTTGTGTGTGTTGTGTGTCCGTGTGCAGTGATTGTATTGACACCAGTAAGTCCAGATGTTGTGTATCGGCCATTTTGTTTCCGTGGATATCGTCGGGATGAAGAATGGTCGGTTCAGGACGAGCACGACTTGTGTGTCTTCGTGCAGATGTAGTTATTGTCGTGGTTTCTCTTCTCACTTTGATGAATGTTTAACACGGTCTTAGTGTCTCCTCGACGGATGGCAGTGACAGAAAAGATTAGATTATGTTTATTACATTATTTTATGCTCAGTTTAGGCAGATTTATTCCACTACACAAAGTACGACTGTTAAGGGACTGCACTTTCTCGGTTTAGTCGTGTAAAAGTCATGTATAACAATAAAAACAACATAACACTGGTCATAAGAACACTGTTGGTAGAATCAAGAATATTTATTGTTACTGAAAAAGTTAAACCCTTTTTATCGTCTAAACATTATGAGTTACTTCCTTTGGTTTTTACACTTTCTTGCAAAAACACAGAAGTACTTATTTTTTCCTACATATTTACAATTCCTTAGCGTCATAAACAATCAAAAAAAGTAATTTTCCATAATTTTGATAATGTTAAACAGTTCAACCCCTTTTACTAAAACACAAAATGCTTCTGTACCTTTTAACCTTGTTTATTTCTGTACTTGCCTGATGCACACCGGGGACTTTTGTACAAGTATTCCAAAGTGGTTTTACTGCAAATGGCAAATAAACTGAATGTGAAGGACTCGGTGTGAAAGAGTGGCCACATTCGTCTTTTGTCCTTTTGCCGTTTGAAAAGAACAAGAGACGATGCATCATCAGAGCCCAAACACAAACAGAACATGTCCTTCTTTCTCTTTTAGAGTCTGATGCGAGACCGAGCCCCGTGATCCAAGATGGCGTCCTGTTCAAATAAACGGCCTGTGCTCAGTAGTTCATGGGACTTTACAGGGACCGGGAGATGAGCAGAACTCGCCTATATTTGGGCATCGTCTGGTCCTCCTGGTTCTGTGCAGTGGACGAGCTCCCATGATGCTTTGCACCAAATACACGTGTGTGGCTCTCGTGCACGTGCACAGAGGGGCTCGGCCGCGCTCTGACCAATCAGAGCTGATCAGAGCAGCAGCAGGGCGGAGTCAGAGCGGGAAGGAAAGGAGCAGAGTTTGTGGCAGTAAAGTGTGGATTTAAAGAAAACAAGGATTTAAGAAGAAAAAAAGTTCAGGACGACAAGGGACACTAACATCCCCACAAAATCTGACCTTTATGAAAGCTGTAGGTTCTCTGTCAGGTTCTCTGTCAGGTTCTCAGTCAGGTTCTCAGTCAGGTTCTCAGTCAGGTTCTCAGTCAGGTTCTCAGTCAGGTTCTCAGTCAGGTTCTCAGTCAGGTTCTCTGTCAGGTTCTCTGTCAGGTTCTCAGTCAGGTTCTCAGTCAGGTTCTCTGTCAGGTTCTCTGTCAGGTTCTCTGTCAGGTTCTCAGTCAGGTTCTCTGTCAGGTTCTCTGTCAGGTTCTCAGTCAGGTTCTCAGTCAGGTTCTCTGTCAGGTTCTCTGTCAGGTTCTCAGTCAGGTTCTCAGTCAGGTTCTCAGTCAGGTTCTCAGTCAGGTTCTCAGTCAGGTTCTCAGTCAGGTTCTCTGTCAGGTTCTCTGTCAGGTTCTCTGTCAGGTTCTCTGTCAGGTTCTCTCTGTCAGGTTCTCTGTCAGGTTCTCAGTCAGGTTCTCAGTCAGGTTCTCAGTCAGGTTCTCTGTCAGGTTCTCTGTCAGGTTCTCTGTCAGGTTCTCAGTCAGGTTCTCAGTCAGGTTCTCAGTCAGGTTCTCAGTCAGGTTCTCTGTCAGGTTCTCTGTCAGGTTCTCAGTCAGGTTCTCAGTCAGGTTCTCAGTCAGGTTCTCTGTCAGGTTCTCAGTCAGGTTCTCAGTCAGGTTCTCAGTCAGGTTCTCAGTCAGGTTCTCTGTCAGGTTCTCAGTCAGGTTCTCTGTCAGGTTCTCTGTCAGGTTCTCTGTCAGGTTCTCTGTCAGGTTCTCAGTCAGGTTCTCAGTCAGGTTCTCAGTCAGGTTCTCAGTCAGGTTCTCAGTCAGGTTCTCTGTCAGGTTCTCTGTCAGGTTCTCAGTCAGGTTCTCTGTCAGGTTCTCTGTCAGGTTCTCTGTCAGGTTCTCAGTCAGGTTCTCAGTCAGGTTCTCAGTCAGGTTCTCAGTCAGGTTCTCAGTCAGGTTCTCAGTCAGGTTCTCAGTCAGGTTCTCTGTCAGGTTCTCTGTCAGGTTCTCAGTCAGGTTCTCAGTCAGGTTCTCTGTCAGGTTCTCTGTCAGGTTCTCTGTCAGGTTCTCAGTCAGGTTCTCTGTCAGGTTCTCTGTCAGGTTCTCTGTCAGGTTCTCAGTCAGGTTCTCAGTCAGGTTCTCAGTCAGGTTCTCAGTCAGGTTCTCTGTCAGGTTCTCTGTCAGGTTCTCTGTCAGGTTCTCAGTCAGGTTCTCAGTCAGGTTCTCAGTCAGGTTCTCAGTCAGGTTCTCAGTCAGGTTCTCTGTCAGGTTCTCTGTCAGGTTCTCTGTCAGGTTCTCTGTCAGGTTCTCAGTCAGGTTCTCAGTCAGGTTCTCAGTCAGGTTCTCTGTCAGGTTCTCTGTCAGGTTCTCAGTCAGGTTCTCAGTCAGGTTCTCAGTCAGGTTCTCAGTCAGGTTCTCTGTCAGGTTCTCTGTCAGGTTCTCAGTCAGGTTCTCAGTCAGGTTCTCAGTCAGGTTCTCAGTCAGGTTCTCAGTCAGGTTCTCTGTCAGGTTCTCTGTCAGGTTCTCAGTCAGGTTCTCAGTCAGGTTCTCTGTCAGGTTCTCTGTCAGGTTCTCTGTCAGGTTCTCAGTCAGGTTCTCTGTCAGGTTCTCTGTCAGGTTCTCTGTCAGGTTCTCAGTCAGGTTCTCAGTCAGGTTCTCAGTCAGGTTCTCTGTCAGGTTCTCTGTCAGGTTCTCAGTCAGGTTCTCAGTCAGGTTCTCAGTCAGGTTCTCAGTCAGGTTCTCAGTCAGGTTCTCTGTCAGGTTCTCTGTCAGGTTCTCTGTCAGGTTCTCAGTCAGGTTCTCAGTCAGGTTCTCAGTCAGGTTCTCTGTCAGGTTCTCTGTCAGGTTCTCTGTCAGGTTCTCAGTCAGGTTCTCAGTCAGGTTCTCAGTCAGGTTCTCAGTCAGGTTCTCAGTCAGGTTCTCAGTCAGGTTCTCAGTCAGGTTCTCAGTCAGGTTCTCTGTCAGGTTCTCTGTCAGGTTCTCTGTCAGGTTCTCAGTCAGGTTCTCAGTCAGGTTCTCAGTCAGGTTCTCTGTCAGGTTCTCTGTCAGGTTCTCTGTCAGGTTCTCAGTCAGGTTCTCAGTCAGGTTCTCAGTCAGGTTCTCAGTCAGGTTCTCAGTCAGGTTCTCAGTCAGGTTCTCAGTCAGGTTCTCTGTCAGGTTCTCAGTCAGGTTCTCAGTCAGGTTCTCAGTCAGGTTCTCAGTCAGGTTCTCAGTCAGGTTCTCTGTCAGGTTCTCTGTCAGGTTCTCAGTCAGGTTCTCTGTCAGGTTCTCTGTCAGGTTCTCTGTCAGGTTCTCAGTCAGGTTCTCAGTCAGGTTCTCAGTCAGGTTCTCTGTCAGGTTCTCTGTCAGGTTCTCTGTCAGGTTCTCAGTCAGGTTCTCAGTCAGGTTCTCAGTCAGGTTCTCTGTCAGGTTCTCTGTCAGGTTCTCTGTCAGGTTCTCAGTTCAGGTTCTCAGTCAGGTTCTCAGTCAGGTTCTCAGTCAGGTTCTCAGTCAGGTTCTCAGTCAGGTTCTCTGTCAGGTTCTCAGTCAGGTTCTCAGTCAGGTTCTCAGTCAGGTTCTCAGTCAGGTTCTCTGTCAGGTTCTCTGTCAGGTTCTCTGTCAGGTTCTCTGTCAGGTTCTCTGTCAGGTTCTCTGTCAGGTTCTCTGTCAGGTTCTCAGTCAGGTTCTCAGTCAGGTTCTCTGTCAGGTTCTCTGTCAGGTTCTCAGTCAGGTTCTCTGTCAGGTTCTCAGTCAGGTTCTCTGTCAGGTTCTCAGTCAGGTTCTCAGTCAGGTTCTCAGTCAGGTTCTCAGTCAGGTTCTCAGTCAGGTTCTCTGTCAGGTTCTCTGTCAGGTTCTCTGTCAGGTTCTCTGTCAGGTTCTCAGTCAGGTTCTCTGTCAGGTTCTCTGTCAGGTTCTCTGTCAGGTTCTCTGTCAGGTTCTCTGTCAGGTTCTCAGTCAGCTGAGGTCGAGCTGTTTTAGTTTACATTGACAGACACACACACACAAAGGGACACACAAAACACAGAGACACGCAAACACAGGGACACACAAACACAGAGACACGCAAACACAGGGACACACAAACTGAAGATTGAATTAGAAAAATGTATGTTTACACACATACAAACACACACACAGGGACACACACACACAGGGACACACAAACTAAGGATTGAATGAGAGAAATGTATGTTTACACACACGGACACACACACACAGGGACACACACGAACACACACAGAGACAGAGACACACACAGGGACACACAGAAACACACACACACACACAGGGACACACAAACTGAGGGTTGAATGAGATAAATGTATGTTTACACACACGGATACACACACACAGGGACACACACAGGGACACACAGAGACACACACACAGGGACACACACAGGGACACACAGAGACACACACAGGGACACACAGAGACACACACAGAGACACACACAGGGACACACAGAGACACACACACAGGGACACACAGGGACACACAGAGACACACACACAGAGACACACAGACACACACAGGCACACACAGAGACACACACAGGGACACACACAGAGACACACACAGGGACACACAGAGACACACACACAGGGACACACAAACTAAGGATTGAATGAGAGAAATGTATGTTTACTTTTGAAATCTACTGTAATTTCATGATTATATTATCAACAGTGGTGACTTCAGATTAAGAAGAAGAGATCCTTTATTAGTCCCACAGCGGGGAAATGTCAGTGTTGCATCACACGTTACAGAACAGTAGGAAAGAGGAGCACACACACACACACACACACACACACAGAGACACACACACACACACAGGTGAAACACATGAATGCGGGACAAGTAATCAGCAAAACACTGAAAAGAACCAATAAAACCAGGAAAAGTGATCAAAAAGTCACATTATCAGCCACTTAATGTTATCCAATCCACTTTAATTATATAACACATTTTATAAAACAGGTTTCCTAAGTGCTGCAGAGAGATAAAAGTGACACATTTAAATACACAGGTTTTCCAGCTTTATAAGTATAAAAATATAATGAATACAATAATTATGATGTGTACAGTAAAAACAATTAAAAAAGAAGTAATAAAAACAAAAAATACCAGTTATTCAAAACAAAAAGACCATTAAAATAATTAAATCGGTGGAACAGAGGACCACACAGCTCACATGGGGCTAAAAACCAAAGAGGAAAAGTAAAATGTTAGGGTTTGGATTTATATTAATGAGTTATAAAACAGTCGATGAATACTTTTCCTCGATAGAAGCAAACTTTAATGTGATATGAGGACAGTGGAGGGATCGGGTCCAGGCCCTAATCCTCCAGATAAAAGTAGAGCACGACTTCTGCAGATGTGGAAACGAGAGCAGCCAAAGGACAACGCTCAGAAACAAGAACAATGAATCCAGTCCTCTTCACACGGAGCTGTTTGTTGGAAATTATGGAGAAGAAGAAGAGTGAATCTGAGCCAGACCCGAACCAGAGCCGGAGGCAGAACCCCCGGGTCGGTCCGAGCTCTCATCGTTCACTAACGGGGGGCTTTGGTTTTATTGTCTTACAGTAACAATGTTGAGTTCCAGACAATACTAGCTCATGGTATTAGCTCATACTCAGTTCATCCCAGTGGGGGCGGGTCCTGGTTCAAAACATGCTGCAATACCACCCCAGGCCAGTGGGGGTGGACCAGGAATAGGAATTAGCCAATACTAATGTATAACATCTGATTACCTCCAGAAAACGGCTTTACAGGATGCTCCAAAAGTGGGTTTTTGGTCAAGCCCCGGCGATCCAAGATGGCGCCGTATTCAAATGAATGGTTGTGCTCAGTGGCGCTTTGTGCCGGCGCGGTCGCTGACATATTAGCAGAGTTGGCCTGTATTTGGGCATCGTCTGGTCCTCCCGGTTCTGTGCAGTGGACGAGCTCCCATGATGCTTTGCGCCA